CGAATTCAAGAGCTCTGGCCATTGCATCCTGCATAGTAGAGGGGTGTGCTTGCTTTACTTGTATCTTCAATTGTTGGCTGTCATCTCAAAGCTTTTTTCCTTCAAATTTTTCGTTCTTTGGCTCTATATGATGTAAAATTCTTTCTAAGAATGACCTTGAGAATTATACAATGAAACAAGCAGTTTCAGGCAATAGTAGCCACGATTAGATTATAGAAATGGTTTCAACAGACAAGGAACACCATTCTTGTAAAATAGGGTTAACTTCAGTAGAAACATGACCTTGTATGTATCTATTAAAACACAAATAATTACCTGCTTGTAAATGAAAAACGTGATATGTATATTTCTACTAGGTTTTCTATACTCAACATGTGATTTTTACTATCTTTCAGGCTTTCTCTCCAAGCCAGAAGTATGTAGTATCTGTTGGCACACAACCTGACACGACAGTTACCGTCTGGGACTGGAAACAAAATATCAAAGTAGCTTCCAGTAAACTATCTTTTAAGGTAGATGCAGCAAACTTTCTGTTAAGTTGTGACAAAACAAATAAGTTTTATTCAAAGATTTGTTAATAACTTCTACGAGAAACAAAAGTATCTCAGACCATAAAACATATAACAAAATATTTAAAAAAAGTAGTTTCAGAGGTAGCGGTTAACCATTTAATGGCATGGTCGTCCACTGGTGTATTTATATATATGTAACATAAACTCTGACTTTAAGGACATTATATTTGTCCTTCTTCAGTTCATACTTATTTCTTTATGTTTCCTAGGTAAAAGCTCTGTCATTTTCTCCTCGTGGAACTCACTTTGTCACCGCAGGTAATGGGCAGATCAAGTACTGGTACCTTGACCAATCTCGCTCAGCACAGGTGATGTGAATTAATAACTAACATCACAATACCGTGTTTTATAAATCACATCATTGTACCTGTGTATTGTAGAACATAGAATAATAGTCGCATCATTCTACCTGTGTAATGTGGAACATAGAATAATAGTCGTATCATTCTACCTGTGTAATGTAGAACATAGAATAATAGTCGCATCATTCTACCTGTGTAATGTGGAACATAGAATAATAGTCGCATCATTCTACCTGTGTATTGTAGAACATAGAATAATAGTCGCATCATTCTACCTGTGTAATGTGGAACATAGAATAATAGTCGTATCATTCTACCTGTGTAATGTGGAACACAGAATAATAGTCGTATCATTCTACCTGTGTAATGTGGAACACAGAATAATAGTCGTATCATTCTACCTATGTATTGTAGAACACAGAGTAATAATCGTATCATTCTACCTGTGTAATGTGGAACATAGAATAATAGTCGCATCATTCTACCTGTGTAATGTAGAACATAGAATAATAGTCGCATCACTCTACCTGTGTAATGTGGAACATAGAATAATAGTCGTATCATTCTACCTGTGTAATGTAAAACAAAGAATAATAGTCGTATCATTCTACCTGTGTATTGTAGAACATAGAATAATAGTCGCATCATTCTACCTGTGTAATGTGGAACATAGAATAATAGTCGCATCATTCTACCTGTGTAATGTAGAACACAGAATAATAGTCGCATCATTCTACCTGTGCATTGTAGACCATAGAATAATAATCTGATTTATTGTAGCCCAAGACATTTATTCAAAATATATTAATTTTCAGAATGTTTCAACACGAAACTTGTAAAACGACGTTACTTATTTACAGAAATATCTTTTCTTTTTAAATTGTAACTTTAACATTCTATCCGGGTCAGTCCTTATACAAAAGGTTGAGCACGTTATATCTAAACTATCTTTATACAAGTAGGCAAGTCACGTAACAACCATATTATATACACAATCGCTGTGGAATGGCATAGATTAGAATCAGTGCAGAATGTGGGGGCCCCCTGCGAATTTTCCCATCGTGCATCCTTTATATCCGATTTACTATGGCTCTATGGGCCTCCTATTTAACGTTTACCCCCGTACTTGAGGGGCAGTTGCTACACCTCTGATTAGATCTACATTTTACAATTTTTTTGACATTCCGTATATAGTTTAATGCTACCAATATTTAATCTGTTTTTGAAAGGACATGTAACAGTTTTTCTCCACATAAACTCGGATTATAAACATGTGTTAAGGTCGAGGGTTTAGAACTTCCAATATGAGAACACCCCTTGTACTTAATAGTATTGGAAACAAAGGATTATATAATTATAGAAGAATACCAGAAAGAACTACAACATGTTCTACTGCAGCGGTGATAAGCAAAGTGTGGAGTCTGGTGAGGATCTACAAATACAAAGGTCAGCAGAAAGAGCCCTTCACGTGGCCCACACAACATGAAGGATATCCGTCTAGAAATAAGGCCAACAGTTCACCAAGATCAGGATTACAGTCATACCTCCCTTTCACGTATCTCTAGCTGCTGGAGAATGAGATGGATATACGAAAGACATGTACGATCAGGCTGTTGAAACGATCTGTCATCCTCATACACTAAAAGGATTATGGAAAGCCCTCAGAACGGAATGATGTGACTTGGACATTACAATCTTATGACGTCTTTTTTTTTTCTTTTTGCAATGGAAACTACATGGCGGTGCTATTTATCAATAGAGCATTACTTGACGTGGCGACATGGAGTGTAACTACATGGTGAGATCGTTTTAATATAAGGTACTTAGACTTTACCTTTACTTGCACCATCAAATTATGACCATACTTTAAGGCTAATGATGATACATACTTGACGTGGCGACATGGAGTTTAACGACAAGGTGAGCTCGTTTTAATATAAGGTACTTAGCCTTTACCTTTACTTGCACTATCAAATTATGACCATACTTTAAGGCTAATGATGATACATACTTGACGTGGCGACATGGAGTTTAACGACAAGGTGAGCTCGTTTTAATATAAGGTACTTAGCCTTTACCTTTACTTGCACCATCAAATTATGACCATACTTTAAGGCTAATGATGATACATACTTGACGTGGCGACATGGAGTTTAACGACAAGGTGAGCTCGTTTTAATATAAGGTACTTAGCCTTTACCTTTACTTGCACTATCAAATTATGACCGTCTGTCGTACCTTAAGACTAATGATTATACATACTTGATATTGAAGTTATGAAATTTATTAAATATAAGTATTCGTTTATCTAAAGCCATATCTTATAATTTGCTTTCTGATACAGCACAAGTTGGAAACAGTTCACCTGGTGGGAAAGTCTGCAATATTAGGAGACCGGAGAAGAAACTATTTCTGTGATGTAGCCTGTGGTCGAGGAAAGACTTCAGACAATACTTACGTTATCACTAAGTCAGGACTTCTGTGTGTTTTAAATAGTCGTCGTTTCTTGGAGAAATGGGTAGAGTTAAAGGTAGGTTTAAAAATAAGGAAAATGTCAGGGGAAATATATGAAGACGTGTGCAAAAATATTCTTTCTTAATATTGATTGATGTAGGAAAATTGCACAGATATGGGGAAATGTTAACTGTTAATATTTATTGACATGTGGGCGATGCAATGTTATCTCTCTGTTAATACTGATTCATATATAAGTGGGCAAAGCTATGATGAAGTGTGAACTGTTAATAATTGTTTGTTAATATATATACAAGTTCCGGAGCTATGATCATGTGTGAACTGTTTGTTAATATATATACAAGTTCCGGAGCTATGATCATGTGTGAACTGTTTCTTGGTATTAACATATATATAAGTGGGCACAACTATGGGGAAATGTTTACATATTGATTGATATATCTAAGTGGGCAGAGCTATGGGGAAATATTTACTGTTTCTTGATATTGATTTATATAAGTAGACAGAGCTATGGGGAAATGTTCACTATTTCTTGATATTGATTGATATATACAAATGGGAAGAGCTATAGGGAAATGTTACCTGTTTCTTGAAGTTGATTCATACATTTTAATATTAATAATTCCGTTCCATGTGAGTAAAATCCAGTTTGATAGTAATATATATATATATAGTTGATTACGTTATATTAAAATGTTTTTCGAGCCTTTCCACCACGATATGTATTTGACATTCGTGCATTTTGACAATAGCCTTCTGTCAGGTTTTTATAGATGGATGGGCCTGGTTCTTTACCGTAGGTGTTTGTGACTTTTTGGCGATAAATAAACAGTACACAGTCCATTTGTTTTAATATGATATATTAAAACAAGTCAAATCTATACAGAAATGTTCTTTACACTGTTGGTTACCACAGTTGTATCCAGAATTTTAAATAACTGTGTCTTTTTCAAATTCCACACAAGCGATTTCATTTATTTTATAACACATTTGACAAGACGAACTATTCTTCTCTAATCTGTTATTACAATACAGTCTGTGATAATTTATAAATCGCCACTATACACTCTTTATGGCTAAAGTCACAACCAAGCAGTCTAGATCTATATCTGTCTATCAATCTAACTATCTCGAACTACATTTTGGACGCGTATTCATAACCTGACAGAGGCCTAGAACGTTTCCCACATTGCGAGATATTATGATGCAATAACATTCAATTAAAACAACGAGAAAACTTAGAAGTTTCTAGTAACATGTCGCAATAATATAACAATCACCAATTCACAACAACTGAACCACAGAATGTATGATCCGAAAACTATTACGTAAACAAACTTGCGATAAACTATCACTTTTAAAAATAAGTAAATTTAACACTCGCACTACATGTCTTTTTAAAATCATAACACTCGTGCCAATAAAAAAACTAAACAGTCGTGTATATCTAATACCCTTCAGTGTAGTTTCCATTGCAAAATACTTTGTCATAAATCTGTCATGCCCAAAGTACACTAATCTTCTCTGTCCATGCTTCCATAACCGAAATTACTGCAGTTTCAACATTCCAATCACCCAGAATTCCATAGGCGTTGCATTTGATGACTTGTTCGGTGTGTCTTTGTACAGAATAGTATAGATATCCATGTTATTCCCTAGCTGCTTGTATAGATATTAATTTTATTACCTTGAGGTATGGGAAGGTCAAACAAAAGGTATAACTGGAACCCTTATCTTGGTTAATCTTACCCTCATTTCCAGATGGAGAACCTTTTTGATAATGTTGATTACTGTTGCCTGGAGCACGTGGCCTCACCGTTGCAAAACGGAGAACTTTGATTACCACAGGTCTCTTTCTGGATGCACCACTTTGATCTATATTCATTTGCTTTTCAACACCATTACACACAAAGATATCCCCGACTTGGAACTTCTGAGTTCCCAGTCTGAACAAATCTTTAGTGTATGAATGTCTCGCTGTTACATGTCCTTCCAAAAAGCGGCCAAATTTCGGTGGCTTCATACTACCTACGAAATGGCAAGCAATGTTAGAATGTAGTTCTGATACAATCCGTTCCACTACGACTTTATATATGCTGTGATTGTTACGTAACTTGCTTATTTCTGTATTCAAAATTGTTTTAATATAACGTATTCAACCCTAGATTAAACGTGAAGATGAACTTTGGTTTAGAAAACCATCACACAATAGGAAGACTTAGCTAAACCTTTTGACCTTGATTTCCAGACTGCCAGCGCCACAAGCTTATGCGTATCTGAAAAGTATGTCTTTATTGGTTGTGCAAACGGGGTTGTGAGATGTTTCAATCCCATCAGTCTTCAGTTTATTTCAACATTCCCCAAACCCCACTACTTGGGTATTGGAGCCAATGAAAGGTAAAGTTTGTTATATATTAACTGATACGAAATGTAACGTCCTTCTGAATCAACAGCTGGTTGTTATAAGTTAATTTGTTATAAATAGCGTTACAGACTATGTTAGTCACAACTACAGTGATATTAGAATCTAGCTGGCTGAGTTGTATATAACACTTAAATAATGTTTTTATAAGTTTTGTTGAAACTTGTAGTACATTTTCTACATAAAATAATTTTCATTGTGCCTATAAATTGGTATTGGTCAATTTACCATTCATTGTGAATAACTTCAAACATGAAACTTTACACATACAAATGACGTGAATTCTTTACGTCCTAAACAGAAACAACAATCTGAAACCTTTAGGTCTCATACAAATAACAATATGAAATATACAACTTTTCTGCAACTAACAAATACTATTACTTCTTCAGATCTTATTCATACTGATAAAAAACAATCTCAAGTTTTCAGGTCTTATGCAAAAAAAAAAGCAAACTGAAGTCTTTAGGTTTTATAGAAGTAACTAACGATCAGACGTTTTGGGGTCTTAGAGATAACAGTCTGAAGTCTTCAGGTTTTAAACAAGTAACTAACAATCAGAAGTTTTGGGGTCTTAGAGATAACAGTCTGAAGTCTTTAGGTTTTATACAAGTAACTAACAATCAGACGTTTTGGGGTCTTAGAGATAACAGTCTGAAGTCTTTAGGTTTTATACAAGTAGCTAACAATCATACGTTTTGAGGTCTTAGAGAAAACAGTCTGAAGTATTTAGATTTTATACAAGTAACTAACAATCAGACGTTTTGGGGTCTTAGAGAAAACAGTCTAAAGTCTTAAGATTTTATACAAGTAACTAACAATCAGACTTTTTGGGGTCTTAGAAATATGAGTGCGACGTCTATAGGTTTTATAGAAATAACTAACAATCAGACGTTTTGGTGTCTCAGAGATAACAGTCTGAAGTATTTAGGTTTTATACAAGAAACTAAAAATCAGACGTTTTGGGTTTTTAGAGATAACTGTCTGAAGTCTTTAGGTTTTATACAAGTAACAAACAATCAGACGTTTATGGGTCTTATAGATAACAGTCTGAAGTCCTTAGGTTTTATACAAGTAGTTAACAATCATACGTTTTGAGGATTTACATATAACAGTCTGAAGTATTTAGGTTTTATACAAGTAACTAACAATAAGACGTTTTGGGGACTTAGAGATAACAGTCTGAATTATTTAGGTTCTATACAAGAAACTAACAATCAGTCGTTTTGGAGACTTAGAGATAACTGTCTGAAGTCTTTAGGTTTTAAACAAGTAACTGACAATCAGACGTTTTGGCGTCTCAGAGATAACAGTCTGAAGTATTTAGGTTTTATACAAGTAACTAACAATCAGACGTTTTGGGGTCATAGAGATAAGAGTCTGAAGTATTTAGGTTTTATACAAGTAACTAACAATCAGACGTTTTG